TTTTTTTGTTTTATAAAATTTCTATTATTTATTTTTTTTTTATAGAAAACAATAAAATGATATAATTTTCGTTGAACATGTGAACATTTAATTTACAATAGACACATTGCTATGGAAATTTTTTATTACTTTGATTATGTATGAGTGTTTTTGCTTGTGAGCATATAAAAAAAAGACAATATTAGATTCTAAAAATCATGTGATAATATTCAACAAAATCGCTGAATTAATAATATTTAATACAAACATGAAATCTATAGTCTGTGTAATAGTTTTAATGTGTAATTTGTTGTTTGCAAATTCTCAACATAATAATATATTGTTGTTTTTGTAATGCGATAACTTTAAGAAATAAAAACAAACTCTATAAAAAGTAAACTACATAGAGAAACAATACTCAATGTACATCCAAACAAGTAAAAAAAGATCAATAATATATGAATATATACTCGAAAAGGTGGTTAGTATATTCTTTACTAGATCTATGGTCCTTTACGCGTTGGCAACTAGTCTCGAATTCGATGAAACGATAAGCTGTACCAGCTACACCGCAAAATTTACAACGTTAAAAAATAAAAATTCAGCATATTCGCATGGTATTCATAGCCAATATCTTTTAAATTCATTTACAATTTATTGAAATTGACAATTGTGTTATGACAATATAACATCCCTTTTACTCACACACACACACACATCAGAAATAAAAGCATAACATTGCCGTGATCATTCGTCATATAATTGTCATATAATTGCAATGCTTAAACTATATTGCAGTATTTTACAGAATCTTTTAATAATGTTTTTTTAATAACCATTATTTCGTTATGATTCTGTAAAAAAAAAAATTAGACTAAACTAAAAATGAAGTGTTAACCCTTTTACGACTTATTTTAGTGCTGTTAAGTGTTTGTGTATATTAAACGTTAACTTCGTAACACTTTTTAATAAATTCAATTCTGAAATTCTTGTGAATTCTTTTGTTTTAAGTGTGCCACCAGACGTCTTGTAAATTCTTGGTTGACTCATGTTAGGACAATAAAAGTAAATTGCAAGTAAAGTAGGTTAAAATCTGCACGTAACATATCAACAAAATCACTGATAAAATGCGTAAGTCAATGAGACAACACTAGACTTAGAGTAAATTACAAGAAAAAAAAAATGTTTTTAAATAAATTGAACAGTTTAATATTTAAGATTTAACAACAAAAACTGATTTGAGTAGAATACATAATGTGGGGAATATGGGGTGCCTTGATTGCTGTTACCAGGTTATCATAGCATGTAATTAAAGTAATGAGTGTGCACGCATCTATGCGTACGATTATAAAGTATGGGCTGCTTTAATTTGATAAGTGCAGGAAAAGAAGGTAGTCAGCTCAGACAGACAGGTTGGAGGGCTGCACAGTTAGGGAGCGTATTTGTATGTAAATTTCAATTGTGGTTGACAAAAAGCTCAAGCATGCATTAAATTGAAAAGGATGCATTAAAATAATACAAATAATAATATATATAATAAATAAAATGCTGAGCGGTTATAGATACAGAAACAAGATGTAAGAAATGTCTAACTGACAATGTTGGACAAAGCACAGCCTTAAGAAGATACAAAGGGCAATATATTTGAATTACTCTCGCACAAATGTTACAAAAGTAAAATGGATTTTGTTTTTGAAAAGTAACTTAAGTAAAGCTTCCTATTCAAAAAGAGAAAAAAAAATTAATTATAACGCATGAAATATGCGTAAGTCACAAGTTACCCTGTTTTTAATAAAATTTCATGCGGGGCTTATTTTTTTTTACAAGAAAAAAATTTTTATCGTATTATTTTTATATTATTAATGTCAAAGCAATGTTTTATTTTATGTATTTTATTTGATGTATATATAAGTATATATTCAATTTTTTAACAAAAAATAAATAGAGAGCTATAATTGTATAAATATTTTTTAAATTAAGAGGTCATACAAGGGTTAAAGTAACCCTAAACTCAAGTCAGCGGCAAAAAATGCGTACGAAACAAAAAAGTCATATTAAAAAAATATCAATTGAAATTTCCCCACGCGTACATTGAACTCTAGAGGTAAAATAGCCAAAGCAACAAATAAAAGAAACATAATCAAAACCAAAATAAAATTATAAAAATAAGTGAAGAAAAAAAATTTTGAGCTTACGCACTAAAAAGTTACGCACAATAGAATTCAAAAAAAAATATATAAGTAAAAACCAAACAATAACAACAAAATGCTGCTACGCAATCAAAAGAACAAGCAACGGGAATGGCAAATAGCAACAACAAAAGTCAACAGAACAGAAAATAATGAATGTGATTGAATTCAACGAAAGAAAAAATTAAATAAAACAAAACAGCAACAACAACAACTAAATACTTGATACGAAGCAACAACAATAACACAGCAAAATTGGCACAGTTGAGGTAGGTGTCAGTTTAGTGAGCGGGAGACTATAGCTGCGCTGCTTTGCTGCCTGCTGCGTACTGTCTACTGCATGCAAAGCTTAAATGCTTGTACGCACATTGTTTTGTGTATTGTATTTCTTCCTGAACTTTGCAGCTCAAACGTTTTGTTGACATTTACACTATTCCTAGCGGCAAGTACTTATTGTGTACTTATTTCTTATTATAATATTTTTTCATTTTTTTGTTTTTTCTTTATGCAATTTTTTTTTTCAATTTGCAATATTTTATATTGATGAGTGCTGAGTGCTGAGCGTTGAGTAGGCCCAACAACAATGTGTGCGGACTGTAAGGCAGCACGCATGCATTCATGTTTGCATTCATTATAGCTTGCCTGCATACATTGTGACCGAAAAGCTTTCGGAAATTCTCATTTAAAATTCGCGCGCTGTATATTTTTCGATATTTTAAGTTTATGTAGTTTGGCAGCACTGTCCTTAATTACTATGCCAAAAATGAGGCGCGATCTGTCGGACAGTTCGTTTACGGCAGCTGTTGAAACCAGTTCACCTCAGTAGTGCGTTGCGAAAAAAACAATGGAAAAAAATATTGAACAAAGAGTTTGCATCAAATTTTGTTTTTCGAACGAAATTTCGTGTGCAGAATCGTTGCGAATGCTACAAAAGGCTTATGGGGAATCAGTTTTATCGAAAACTCAAGTTTATGAGTGGTACAAAGCCTTTCAGGACTGTCGTACGACCGTCGAAGACATGCCGCGTTCTGGACGACCTTCGACCTCTACCACCGACGAAAACATTGAAAAGGCAAAGGAAATCGTGTTCAAAAATCCTCATGTGAGTGTTAGAGAGATAGCACGAGAGCTAGGCATCGGTCGTGAGATGGCTCGTTTGATTTTGGTGGACAATTTGTGTATGCGACGTGTCAACGCCCGGCTTGTTCCGATTCACCTCAATTTGTTCAACATTATCAACGATTTTAAGGCCAAACATTCAATAAATACCATCGAACAGCCACCGTATTCACCTGATCTTGCACCGTGTGACTTTTTCCTGTTTCCCAACCTCAAATTACCACTCAGAGGAACGCGTTTTGAATCCATAGAAGACGTAAAACAGAATTCGCAGAGGGAACTCAAAGCCATACCGGAAAGCGCCTATAAAAAATGTTTTGATGATTGGAAGAAACGTTGGCATTTGTGTATCGCTTCTAATGGAGCATATTTTGAAGGAGATAAAATAAATATTGATGAAGATTAAGAATTTTGCGTTTTATTTATTTATTTCCGGAAACTTTTCGGTCACAATGTACATGTGGCTTTATTGCACTATTAGAAAGAAAAACTGTGCCACAACGGGCGTAGGTGTTAACAGTTTCACAAATCTGTTTTGTAATTATGGCAAATTTTTTGCCCTCCTCTATTTTTATCATTATTTTTATTGTGGCCGTTTGCTGTTGTTATTGTTGTTATTGTGCTTTTATTATATATTTGTTTTTGTAATTATTTTATTAAAGGTATGTGTACTTATGAGTAGAAGTTCTCTTTTTAAAACCGTATTACCGTTGCGGCAATACGTTAAGTGCTGTACTGACAGTTTGTGTTGGTGGTATCAGTGGTGATGTTTTCTAATTTGTTGAATTTTGCAAGCAATTAGGTTTGTGAAGGTGGTGTCAAGTTAAGCAATGTATGCGCGCATACACTCAACAAAAAATGTTACACATAATTATTATTAAATAAACAATTGGGTTAAATGCATATATATTAGTATTTACAACATTTACTTGTTATAAAAGTGTAAACATTTGTGAACTTATATGTAAATAGAATTTAGAAGCAAAGCCGGATTTATTGATATGATAAAAGTGAAGCCAACAGTTTTATAATATCTAATATAAATAATAATTACTGAAATTTGTAGATGTAAGTACTGTAGTCCCAATAATCTATGAAATACTTTTCACGATAAGCTGTTTTCTATAGGCTTTTAGAATCACTTGTTTTCTATTTCAATAAAATGGATCACTCCCCAAAACAATTCCGTTATTATATTGAGGATATGGCAACCCGTTCCATGAAGTACATTTTTAGAGTGTCTTGAACTTTAGTAAATACCCATCAACACCAATAATTAAGTTTTTGTAACAATTATTGCTCTCTATTTAAACGAAATGGGTCATTCCGCCGCTCAGACAATTTCGTTGTTTAGTTACACATATAGCAACCTTCCCCAGATAGTATACTGTTGAAGAGACTCTTATTAGCTTAGATAAATTCGGAAATTCAAATACTAAGCTTCTTATGTTTCACCATCTGATTAAGAATTGTGATTTCAGCCGAAAGTCTTTCACAGTCTAATAGTTGAGATCTTCTCAACTCGTTCCAAAGAGGTGGTTTTAATCTCACACTGTGGCTCAAAAAAAAAAAGTCTACAACATGCTACAACTAGATTAAAAAAAATG